AGAGAGAGAATGGGTCGAAATTGGAGAGATCGTTTCGACGATCGTTTCTTTACGTGTTGTACGATGACATAGCAGTAAAGAATTCGCTTGAGAAAAATCCGGAAGTACGGTTTTGAAGGCTATTCGCGGGACAATCGCTGGTTCGGTCTTGGGAACCGTTCGAGCCACGTCGTCTCTCAAGTTCGTTGGACGCGAACGGGAAACACCGGTATGGGGCTTCTTTATTTTTAACGCGCGATTCATCGGCATTCTCGTGTCGGATGAAGATATTCGAGCGGAGGTAGTAACGTACATGCCGGTATCGATACCAATGCCAATGCCAATGCCGATCGTGATATTATAACAACACTGACCGTTAACAATCGTTATGAGAGCATTGAATGACTCGCGACGAATCATCAACGTCGATATTTTTTAACTATACAATGAAAGATGAACGATATCGAGATGTGCATACTCTGATGGTAGTAATTTTTTTGTGGATAGGCATTGTAAGAGTTAACTCTGATTTTTTAAATGGAAATGCATCAATCTATGCAGCTTACATTCTCTGTTGAAAAAAAAAAAAAAAATATGTCGAAGAATTATTTATTTAAGAGATATTTCAATTCAATTCAATTCAGGATATCACAAACATTTGCACATTGCTGCGAGTATTTCCTTGTTTTTAAAATGTTAAGCTACATCGATCAATGCATTTAAAAATATATGAAAGCAACCTGAATCATTCATCTTACGTTGAAATCAATAACAACCCGAACCGTTCATCTTCTCTACATTGTAACATTTCTCGCTACGGATAACGGCAATATCATAAATCAAGATGATAATATCAGGTGAGACACGATCCTATATATAATTCAGAATTTTCCGGTAGCGATTCCTCGAAAATAGCACGAGGAATCCCTCGTTACTCGGTGCGAGGCGCGCGTAGGTTGCCGATTGTCGAAGGAACTCCGCTCACAAAATTGGCTTAGTCATCGGCGTATTACGGGATATTACGGGGTATTAGCGGGAACGGCCGCAACGACCGGCAAACGACCACGGCTTTCGAGGAGGACACGCACGAGGGGCAAGCAGGAAGGACCGGCCGTCCCCAGTATTCGTGAATCATACTCTACCTTGCGAGCCCGCCACTTCCAAGAACAAATAACGCGACGTAATGCAGCACGAGGTAAACCGAGGAGGTAGGAGCATTTAGCGAGGCGCAACCAGGCAAGACAGAATGAGACAGTGAAACTAAGCAAGCGTGCCGCGCCATAAGAGTGGCAGGATGAGACGAAGCACGCGGCATAGTCGAAGCGAAACGCGGTATCGAGCGACTAGGCGCGATATGACGAGGAA